TTTGTTTAATAATGAGATATGTGCTATCCACATAGCAGTAAGTCAGTTCCCTAATATCTTGCTAATTTTCTAATTAGTGTATTTTAGTCTGTGCATGTATGTATGAAGGCCAGTATTTACTGGAAACATTAGTGACCTCTGAGAATTAAAGCCAGGAAAATTGAAGTTTACTTTAAGTAATTCCCTTCTCTCCCATGTTCTTGCAGTGCAGAGCACAATCTATTTCTGTTTTCATAGAATACTGTTATAATTTCATGCCAGAGGAGAGAGAGAGACTCCTCTGTGATTTCCACACTCCACAAGTGTGTCTCTGGTCTGGATTACTGCTTTCCTCCAGCCCTTGAAATAAACAAGGAGAAGCAGAAAAACAGGTGTAATTTGTTTATTCTCGGCTGTCTGTAAGTGCACAGATCTCTCTACGGTGTTATTTGCATGCTTTAATACAAAGCACTTATTCATTAATGTTTTATTACTTACCAATTATCGTCTTAAAATCTAATAAAGAACCTGAACTCTAAAGGAATGAAAAGGAGTGAGCTGTAACTTCAGAGTGTGTATGTGCTGAAGAATGATGAAAGAGGTATCGGTGACTCCATCAGAATGAAACAATTAAAATGTTTATACTGGATATTCATGTTTCTTTTTAAGCATAGGCTGAACCAATGACCCAAACTTTCAACAGTCAGTACTGAATTTTAATCTAATGTTATTTATCCTAACTTGTGCTATATGCAGTATCTTGAAGTAAGACTGGATGCAAGTCGATCCTGGATTTTGAAGGCAGCAGCAGAAGTTGTTTTATACGCAGTATCAGGTGTATCATTCTGTGTACCTAGCATCTGCTTGTCTTTGAAACAGCCTAATGCTAGCTTTTCCCAGTAAATATACTATTTGTATTGTTTCTTTGAATAACATATTTCCCCAGAATATTTTTCCTACTTTGTTTTACATCTGCCAAAACAAGCAGAAGTCCTTTCTGAAAAGTGCTGGGAATTAATGTCAATTTACATCACTGCATGTCATCTTAGATGTCTTTTCTTTGTTATCAACTTTATATTGTGAGTAGTGCTAGGAAGATACAGCCATGAATTACCATGGGTAGATGGGTCTCATTTCACAATGAAGAACAGGATCCATTACTAAAGAGTCTTCATTACAGAGAAAAGTAGAGTTGGAGTCACTGGTCCACTCTTCCTTTTGCCATTTTTAATTCCATCTTAATCAATTGTATCACAGTATGCCTTAATCCCATAGCACACCTATGCATGATGCAACTCTGATTTTTGCCAGAGGTAAGAAGATACACTGCTGACAGAATAAAAGTAAAGGGGAAGAAAACTCTTGCTCCTCATTCTTCCTGATAAAGGAATGCATAGCGACCCTTAGCATTGTTCAGGGAGAAGTGGAGGCCCAATAGCCTGGAAAGAAGATTAGGCTGATTTGTGCAATGTGGGCATAAGATTGGTACAAGACATTCTGTATTACAGTAATACAGGAATATAAGAGTTCTGATGTTGTTTGGTATGGTACTTGCTTCAAATTGAGTTGGTACTGGGTCATCTTATTATCCATCACCACCCGTGGAGGTATCGCACTATCATTTTAAGACAGTTTATTGGCTGTTGTTGACTCTTACTACAGATTACTTGAAGACATTAAACTTTAGCATTTTTTTTTTACTGTTCAGTGTTACTATTTTTACTGAACAGTGTTACTATTTAATTTATATTTGCTTTGCTCATGTAGGCCTCATGTGACACACAAGTGCTTAAGTAGTTAATCAATCTGTTATGCATGGGGAAATGGAGTTGTAGAAAGCAAGAGTTCTTCCAGTTCTTATGTTCATGGGTCAATTCTTCTGTCAACATCCTCAAGAATTATATAGGTATGCAAGTTTAAATTTTCTTCTCTTAGAATTTTTTTTGTCCTTTTATGGGAAAGGAACACTTCATATTATTCATGTTTGGGTTTTTTTGTGTTGCATTTTTTTTTTGTTTTGTTTACTTTGACATGAAACACTCGCAAGGGGAAATACAAGTCCATGTGCTAGGGCTGATGTTTTTATATCAGAGAGATTGCTGTGCGGGTGTTTGTTCTGGTTTGTGGGTTTTTTTTTTGTTTTGTTTTTTGTTTTTTTTTTTTGGTAGAAAGCTACTTTCTACCTGTTATTTTGGTGATGAGGGATTATAGCTATTAATATTTTACATTCCTTATTAGAACACAAGCAGCTCTGCTTTAATTGGTTTGCTCTTCTGCATAACTGTGTAACTAAAAAATCACTGGAAAGTTATTTTAATGATTACTGCAAAATTTCTGCTATTAATAACTTTGAATGCTCAGTATCAAATTCTCATGATGTCAATGTAAGTTGTAGTTAATACTATTTACTTTCAGTTAATTGCATGTTGTATTCAGAAAAAGCTTTCCACAAGTCTTTCTGGTTTTCTCGTTTCTCAGTTCTTCTTCAGCATGTTCTGTATGTTTCTGTTTTGCCATTTTCTAACCGATATACAGCTGAAAACTACTTGAATTATTTATTTGTGTATGGATAAACATCTGTCTTCCTGAGTATTAGTGAAACTTTAGATTTATTCCAGGATTTAAAGTACAGCTTTTGTGTACTTCAAAGAAACATATCTTTCTGTGAAGAGGAAGGGCTAACTCAGGAACACATTTCTCTCTCAGTTAAGGATGGTTGTGTGAACACCCCTGCATGGGCGATGCTGTGTAAACAGGTGGTATTTGTTGTATTTTGTCTTTCTTTCTGTCAACGCTGCCTGCAATAATCCTTCACAGAAGTACCATAATGCTTTTCATTTTAAGGGCCTAGGAGAGAAGGAAAGAGCTATCTGTTATGTACCTTTGTTTTTTCTAAAAGTAAACACAGGAAAATAAGATGGGGTTGGGTTTTGTAGAGTGCATACTTCTGTGTATATTATGTATGTTTATATACATGCATACTTACATATATATATATATGTGTATATATATATATGAAAGAGCATGTTGGCCATAGCAACGTTTTTCTCTGGCTAGTCTGCTCTTGAAACGTAAAGATAGCTTCAATATATGTAACAGTTAAGGGAGATTATTTAATGAAATAGTATCAGTGGTGTCATTGTCAAATATTATTTTTTTTTGCTACTGGGTAAATAATCTTTTTCACTTCAAGGTTCAGACCTCTGATATTGTTCTTTGATAAAGAGTGAATTTCAGTTACAATTTTAAGCTGGGATGGAAGGAATGCAACTATTTATAAATATAGCAATGGGGAAAAAATTCAGTAGTGCCTTTTGATAGTAGATTGATTTTCTTTTTTCTTCCACTAGATGCAATTAAAGACATCTAGCTCAGTGTCTTGCAGAACTGCAGTGCAATTTGCTCTGTCTTCTCTGACTATATCCAGATATAGTGGTATTGATTGTTTCTTTGCACAGCATAAAGGAGTTCAGAAATACATTCCTGGTTTAGTGTTTGGTTTTAGTGGTTGTTTTTTTCCTTTTTGGAAATAACTTTTTGTCTCAGTTGCATTGTTATTTTCTGTTAAATTGCATTAGAGCACTATTTCTCATTCAGTTCCAAAAGGGGTTGGGTACAGGGCAGAAACCAACCGTTGGGACTATGGAAAGCAAAAGCATTCCACATCTGCTTGATTCTCTTCACTGCAGAAATAACTACTGCTGCAAAATAAAGTAGTCATATACCTCATGTCTTGCTAATTCAGCTATTTCATAAAGAACATCTAAGGTCTCTTCAGGGACAGGTTGAGTCAATGGCAACTGCTCTGTTTTAGGTACTCAGGGGAGGTATTCATATTTACTACTTAAGGCATCTGTTTTGCTTACCTACCTGAGGATCCTAGGCTTCTACAGTTAGCAGAATTTAATGGAGCCATTTAGAATTCTGGAAACCCTCAACTAGTTCTTCTGGCCACTCCTATGGTAGTACAAATAAATGCATGTCCTATACCATGTCTAGTTCTGGACTTTGCCCTACAAGAAGATGGTGAAGACAAATGTGATTATACTATAGTGAGTTCACACTGCTTGGGTATTGGAGCATACGACACATGAGGAGAGTTAGAAAGCTGCATTTGTTTGGACAAAATGAAGAAACTAAGGCAGAGATCTTTCTGCTGCCTGCTAGTAAGGTGTGAAGGTAACAGAACAAGATTCTTCTCAGAGGCGTGGTGGTACGATGGGAAGTGGCGGTCAAGATTTGCAACCGGGGAAATTCCTGTCTTTATTTGGGCAAGAGTTTGAGCAAGAGGTTGTTCTGGATGTCCCCCAGAAGTTCCCTTCAATCTAAATCATTCTCTGGGGCTAGATTATGTTTATTTTTATAAGGATGGAGTTCTATTTTTTTATTACATTTTTTCCTTCATTTTTCTACTAATGAAAGTGAGTTTGCAGAGGAAACTGCATATTTAGATAGGCTAGGCAGCAGTAATAATGTGTCTTATCACTGTAATAAAGGATCATACTCCTCTATCCTTACCTAGTAGGGGTCTGCCGATGTAGTTGAATAATGTAAATATCTCTATGTCAGTTTATTAATGCTTGGCTTCTCAGCAGCCTACTAACAAATGTCCCTCTAGGTTTGGTGATGTGGTCTTCTGCTGCTAATGTATTCAGAAAATACCAGCTCAACACCTATCTGTAAGAAATACAGCATGGTGTTATTAAATAACCCAATGTCTGTTTCGCATTCCATAAGACTGCATACTGTCCTACTCTAACATGAGAATTATTTCATGGTGTTAAGTAGACGAGTAACCATGTAAGTAAATTTTCCTATAGAGGTAGTATTGAAACATTCCCAATAACTGTTTTCTGACTTCTTGTTTGATTTAGACAGCACATTCTGGATTGTTGCTAATGGTGTCTGCTTTATGTGTAGATTTTTTTTTTTTTTTGTAGAATTTCAGATTCCTGGAAAAAAAAAACTTAGCATTTGAACCAATTAAACATGAGTGCTAAAAAAACACAAGGCAATGAAAATACTAATTATTATTTTATGAAAGGTAACTAAACCATTCATATGAATCGTGTCTTTGACATTAACAGTATTTTCAATACTTCCCAAAATCACAGGTAGTTTGTTGCCACTTTGTTCTAGTTTGAGTGGAAGAATAAAAAAGTATCACTTGTGTCCTTTGATCCTTTCCCCTAGTTCATGTGTTTCTGTGAAAACCATAACCTTCTTTGCATTCTTCTAAGTCTTTGGAAAAACAGATGCTGTTTTTCCTAAGACTTCTGTGGAAGGGAAGATGGGAAGAAAAATGGAGCAATTGAGGGATGCTAAGAGTCCCTTAAAAGATCAGTTTACTGAATAGGAGCCATTGATATTTCAAACAGTTTGTTTCTTTTATCATTTGCAGCATGGACAACACCAGCAGCATATTGCTCTGCAAGGGTTTCTTTTTCGATACTTGACTGCAAGCCCAAATTTTTCTTTAGACATTTGAGTGTATTCTTGAGTGTTGTTCATAGTGATTTCAATGTTGTCGATCATTTCCCCTTGCTCCTCCACCAGAACTGATATCTGGATGAAAAGTTCCTTTAAGTCTTTGATCTGATTTTCCAGATTGACTAGTTCTTTGTGTCTCTGTTCAATTTCCGAAAGCTGAGCTTTGGTAATTTTGACTTCAGTGAGTAGATTTTCATTGAAAATCTCCCATTTTCCTTGTTGGAGCATGTCATTGACTTCTTCCTCAGATACTTCTTTACCAGCTACTTCAAGCTGGCGGACAATAAATCTTCTGCATTTCTCTTGCTTGGCGGTTATAGCATCATTGTATGAGAGCATAGCATTTAGGTAACGCTGCGATAAGAAAGTATGCTGTGAAGCTAGAATTCTTACTGTGGCACGTGATGGCCCATGTTCATTTTCAGCTTTTTTCACTGTTTTTGACAGTTCATCCAAACATTTTCGTATGTGCTCTGCTTGAATTTTTATTTCTTTTGCTATGTTAGATTCCTTTTTAAGAACACTGAATCTTCTCATTGAAGATACTAGGCTTTTTTGTTGTTGACTGAATTTATGAACTTCCTCTGCCAAATTATTAATTTCATTCTGAAGCTTCTGGATTTCATGCAAGTGCCTTCCAGTTATGGGCTCTTTTTCATAAATAATGGCCTGCTGTTCAAACCTCTCCTGCTCTTCTTCTTGTACAGTTGCACCGTTGTTTTCTCCAGCTATCTGTAGTTCCTTAGCTCTCAGTTTAAGCTCTTGGAGGCGGTCTCTCATGATTTTTGAGTTCAGGTTTTTTTCAGGTTCTTTCCCACTCTTGCAACACAGGGAGTTAACTTCAATATCTTTTTTTCTCCTTTCACTGTAATCAAAGCATAACAACAATCAATGTTAGCTGTTGTATGTTTACAGGAAAAATAGTTTTGGAGATCAGAGCTACTCTGCACAAAAGTAAAGTAAAAGTAGCAATGAATTGGAAATGGTAGGTATTCTGAATAAACATACAAGATAGGTGGTGTCAGTGCAGTCCACCATTTAATCCAGTTTCTGTAGGACTTAATCATAACCTAAGGTTTTTAATTTATCTTCGGATGGGCATAGTTAACAGTCTTCCCTCAGCTTCTTCTCTATAGTGTTTTTTTTCCACATGCAGTGAGTTGTAGCCCAAGCCCATCCTTGGGGTAGATTTGTGGTGTATGGTCCAGAACTTAGAACAATGAGGAATGTATCATGTGGAGAGGACTTTTATTTTGGGGAGGAGGAGAGGAGTATCTCAAATTCTTATTTTACTGTAATTCCTTATTTGATGAAAACTAATCAATTTTAAATCTTTTTGGAAATAGAAGTGAATCTGCTTTTGAGGGTATGAGATAGACTATCTAGTGAATCAGAGTTCTGGCATCAATCAACTACTTGAGGCTTTTAGTTCAGCCACACTGAAAAACCTTTCTCCATTTTCATTGCCTTCCCTTGCCTGGGGAGTTAAATTGATAGTAACTGAAGAAGTTAATTCTACAGCAAAACAGAACAATACAACTCTAATAATTTAACATGAAAATACTTTTTTTTAATGTCTTGAGTTTTCACAGAGGTGGATCCATATCTAATGTTGCAGCTCAAAGATTTTCTAACTCTTTTTCAGATTGCTGTCATTTTTCTTACATTGTCATTTGCAGTCTTCATAAAGTTTATGCAAATGTACTTTGTGCACCATCATGGGATACAATTCAGTACTGTTTCTTATTTCATAGAAAATAGATTTAGTTCTGTTTCCTACCCCAGCTGTTGTTCAAGCTTTACTGGAGATAAGAGAAAGTTTCTATTGTGTATGTTTTAGAAAATATCTAAGTTCAACTATTTTTAATTATAGGGAAGAAAGTATTTGTCTCTAACTCTACATGAGTGTTTTCCTTGGACTATGATCAAGAATAGAAAATTTCAGTAAAAATTAAAATGTGCAGGACTAGAAGATTATGGGATTTTTACTTGAGTGTCTTCTGGTTAAATCAAATGTGTGTCTTTCTAAGCGCTTTTCAAGGGTAAATGTTAAACAGTACAGTAGCATCTTTTGGCTGTTTTCAGAGGTTTCAGGGCAGTATTCTGAAATAGTAGTGTTTTTTAGGTGCATTTCTTCTTAAACCTCAATTCTAAAGATTTTTTTTTTTTTTTTTAGTAAGCAAATGCAGTATTTTTCTATAGTATACAAAAGGATTCATTTGTAATAACTGCAAAGGATCCATGCAGTATCCTGTCAATATGCAAACGATTTTGTTACATTTGAGCATCTTGAAATGATACTGCTGTGGTATCTCTGCTCCCTTATGCATATTTAAAGTCCCTAAATAGATTTTTTGCATCAAATAAGTCATAGAGTTGAACAGTGTGGACGTGTCTTCCAGAGACTTAAGTCTGGCGTCTGCAGGAGGATTAGCTGAAAAAGAAAACTTGAAATGCTACAAAGATCAGTCGTGAGAAAGAATGTTGACATTCTCCCTAGCATGGATTTCCCTTACTGATTTTTTTTTTTCCCCTTAATGCCATAATATCTGAATTTAGTGTTTGTTGATTCAAGTCCAGAGAATCCAAAAAGCCTGCCAGTCATGAGAAGTTATGGTAATGTACTGAGACTTGTGATCAGGCAAGCTTGCAAGTAATTTACTGGAAAATGTTACTTTGGGGTGGGGAAAATGTAACATGCATTAATTTTGTTACAGTAATTCCTCTTGATTGCCTAACTTGCTGTGTATCTCCCCACAGCAGAAGTCAAACAATTTCTTCAAGGTAACATTCTTTAGGAATGTTTCAGAGCTGCTTGGAACCAGGGAGACTGCCACAGGGAAAGTTCAGCTTGGGGCATGTGAAAGGAACCAGAAGTGCTAAACAAGGCTCCAGAGAAGTGACCTGAAAATCGGTTTTAGTATAGCCTAACACATCTGTTGACCCATATTAATTTAGCATGACTTGACAAGCCTGTAATTATAAGCAAGTTCTAAGGGCACCATTAATGCTTATGATGTGAGGTCGCAAGACTTTCTTGTATCTAAGAGAATTCAAGTAATTACTGAAAAGGTCTGAAATATACATGCAGTCATACAGTTACTCCTCCAGAGCACAGTACAATTTCTCAACAGGGCGGTTACCAATTTTTCATATGATTAATCTCCTGTGGTTTGAAAGTAAGTTAAACACTGCAGCATAAGAACGATACAGGGCTTCACCTTCAGTTTCTGTATCCATTAACGATTTACATCTACTTTTCAATGTTTGGGGTGCATTGGTCTTGAAATAGCTGTACTCCTTGGGAGAAAAAAAAAAAAAAGCAACAGAATTGCAAATTTGCAAATAATCTGAAATATCAAATTGCAAAAAAGTAAGCCAAAAATACTTGAGGTTGCTGTTAACAGAATATTTTTTTTCCTTGTTTAAACATCAGTCTAACTAAAGAGTGGAATGTAAGCAACTGAGCCCTAGTTTCCTATCTTATATCCTATCAGGTTTGCCTTCAAAACCTGTGACTGGACATGCTTGCCAATAAATGTGGTTGATTATACTAGCAACTGAAATGCATGCTGGTTTCAAATAAATAAGGATGTCTTCATGACAAAGATAATCTTGGAAATTGTTGGGTTGACTTCTCGAGTGTTCCATAACAAGCTTTGTTCATATACTGAGTCCTTGTTGTCCTATGTGTTTGTGTATATGTATAGAGGCATGTCCTGTTGTTCTTTTGATTGAGATGAAAGATCTATTTCCTTGAAGTTTTTGTCAATAAAGGGAAAATATGCCTGTTCTTTTAGGGTTGAGTAAAGCGAATATGTGGACTGGAAGCACTTCAGTGACTTAGTGTGTCCCTACACTCAAAAAAAGATTTTAAAAGCTGATCCTTCTGAAGTGATAAAGTAACACAGCCTAGCACATCCTCATCAGACTTTTTCTTCATTGAAGGTTGAAAAATATGGGTTAAAACAGCTAAGAGATTGACTATGGTAAAGGCAAAGCAAATCAGTAAATGGGAAAGCATTAGCTTGTTAAACTGTAGCTTCAAATTATTGACTTATGTTTAGAACTGGCCCTAAATACTCTTACACATATAAATCTGAAGAGCAGTGGTGGGGTTTGTCCATGTTTCTGGCCATTCCTCAGTCATAAATGCTGCTCTGTACTCTTATCTGAACTGTTACTGATGTTGAAATGGTATGGTTGGAGCTGGAATCACAAGCTGCTAGCTGGTTTTTAATAAAAGATAATCTGTAGAAATGGAGTTGTTCTAATAATACGTCTGCAATAACTTAGTCAAACTGCTATGGCACTGTGCCTTCTCTGTTCACACTTAGAAGCAATGTAAGATTGAAATCACAGCCAAAGAACAGACAGAGCTGCACAATGGATTTGGCGAGGATTATTGATGTACTTTCATACACATATTTGGGGAGAAAAAGTAGGAATGCACATAGGGCATTTCAGTTTGGTCACTCTGGCATACCTTATCCTCTAGAAATGCCTCCCTCCTCCTGCCACCCACTCCCCCCCCCCCCCCCCCCCCAGTGTTTTATCATGCAGATCCCCTGATGATTAAGTTTGTATTTGTTGTTCTGATATGCAGGCATCTTTGCATATAGTTATGTAGTTGACAGGTTCTGAAATGCAATTTTCACATTGTTGTCAAATACATTTTAAGGGTATTGCAAGAGTCTTTGCCTTCTGGTAATTTTACTGTGTTGCTCATCAGGGTTATGAATCTCTCCGGTCAAACTGATGACATATGTGCTGTGAAAGTATAATGACAATTACCTCAGCACACTGACTAGAGGAATAATAGATCGCAATGACTGGACCACCATTATTAATCTGTCATGATGATAAAGTATGTTTTAAATTCAAAGAATGAATTTGAATGAAATTAAAATTTTTATATTATCTTCTCTATCTTTTAAGAATGGGAGAAAAAAAAAAAAAGTCAAGTGGAGAGGTCCCTTTGCTTAATTGCGAAGCAGCCATATAGAATATTCTTCTACCTATATAATTTATCAATAGACCAAATAAACAGGGAGCCTACATCCAAGAATGAGATTTGGGCTGCATTACATTAAAAGGCATAAATAGATATTTGAAGTAGGTAAGCTCATCATATGGAATTCTTGTTACTGGTTGTAATTAGATTTAATGGTTTATTTTTTGGCTTTGATGAATTAATTTCCTCTTCACCCCTCTGACTTTCTAAAAATTCCTGTTTATTTTAATTTCCATAATTTTGTTCACTATTTCTTGGTATTTGGCACCTTCATTAAAATGCCTGACACAAAAGGCTCTGTTTGTACTTGACCTTTGATGCAATTTGCATTCCTTCGTACGTTTATTTTAACATACTGTGATCCACCAGGAGAAGAGGACTTGCAGACAATCAAGGCACAGAACTCTCTCTTTAAGAGCTCTTTGAGATGTCTGATCTGTGTTCTGCATCATAAGTGCTTTTTTTTTTTTTTTAATGATTTCAACAAAAATAAGGGTCAGTTTGTTTTCCTGCTCCTTAGTTATGAGTCAGTTAAGGACACTGGGTAGAGGACACTTTCAGGCAACATGTCACAAAGAAATTTCTGGTTACAAGTAATTTATTTTTTTTTAATTAAAAAAAAAAAAAACAACATTTCTAGGCTGCAGTGAAGTTACATTATAGCTCTCTTACATGGTGCCAGCAAACCTATATAACTTATTTTTGATAACAATTGCTCTGAGTAATGTTTGGAGTCATACTCTGGTCTGGAACTTGATTACTGCTTTAAACGTCTTAAGTTTAGCAACAAAAAATTAATGAGACACATATACCATTTAAATGCCTACAGTTTAAGATACTTACATCAGTCTGTGGGGAAAACTAGGAGTTTGAGTTGGAATTTGTTTGTTCCAAAGGCTGTGTTGTCTCATATATTCTCACAAGAAGAGAAGGAACTTGTTTGATGGTGTTTTGGAATATTTCCCTATTACCTGAAGATATATCTTAAGTAACTAAAGTAAGTAATTTTGCTACAGTTTATTTTCTCCTTTGTTTAAAAAGTTTCCTTTAACTTAAATACTTTGTAAACAAACATGCTTAAAGCAAGGATTATCACACAGCGAGGTGGCTGGACGAAAATATCCTCTTAAAGCATCTCTGTCTTAAGATGATAAGTCCTTGGAAAAACATATTTAAAAATAGTTTGAAATTCAGGTTTCTGTTTGTGGGAAGTGGGGGAGTGGTTCAACAGGAAAATACCAAAGACAGAGAGAGCTTCCCCTGGTTATGAGCCTAAAAAAGATGCCATTTGACATGGAAGATAGCTAAACTGTGTCAGTGTATATACAATATGATAGTGCAAAGTAAATAACATTTTCAGCACAGGGGACTTAAATGCTAATGGGTATCTTATTCTTAATATTAAAAAATACTAACATGCAAAGGTCATTTGTTTTTGTCAGCCTTTGTCTCTGGGAAATAACCTGTAGTACATTGGTTCTGGCATTACTACCTAACATGGAGGGAATGCAATCTGGTTGCTTGTCCCCTTGAGGCAATGTTATCCACCATAACTGCTATAAGGCTACCCAGTGAAACCAAAATGACCAGTATGCAGGAGCATAGAAATGCTACATTTGAAGCAAGGCAGCTTGGGAATTAACTAATTAGCGTGAAATAAATCATGGGAGATGGACAAATGTTGACACAGAGTAAAAACATGAGATTCAAATGGAACAAAACAGGCTGAGTATTCAGATGAGTTCATAAGATGGGTAAGGAGTCCAAAGTTGCTGGAAAAGTGCAACCAAATCGTGCTGCTGGAGTAAGTCCTCCAAGGGAGATGGAGAGAGGGAAAATGGACCTTAGCTACTTAAAATAATTCAGATGTTCTTGGGCATTTGGCCAGAAATTTGTAATACAATCATGTTGTAGATGTAGCTGTCTTGTGCTGGTTGTGTGGTATTGCACGATATGGGAAAGAATCCTGAGAGAGAAGAGAAGGGAATAATACAAGGCATAGACTTTATCATTAGCAGAGTGGTAGAGTACAGCGCCTTGTGGATCAGCTGTGTTACAAGCTGTTATACTTTTGAAATCTCTACAACTGTCAGTACTTCTGTTGCATTCCAATTAGAAAAAAAATATGTGATTCTTTTTTGTGATTTTATGAAGTATTTGGTTCAAAGGTGCACAGTGAACCAGTGGCAAATCTGAGATTGTTCCTTGCAGTTTTGGAACCTTTGTTATCAATGTGTGGCTGCAGATGTGGAAGACTTGAGGAAAAGCATCTACCACCATTTCCATGTCTACAGACAGCAATTTTCATGTTCCCTACCGATGCTTTGGGAAATGGAAGGTGGTGAGTTCATGCTTCTGCACTGATATATAAGTCACAGTTATAGTGACATGTACTGCACCTACAAGTCCTGACTGACAAAACAGGAGATCTCACTCTGCAAGTCAGTTAGTGAGTAGATTATTTTCTGTAACTGGCAAAGGAATGGAGTATCCCTTGACTAAAAGCAAAGCTGAAGAACTAACTTAATATTCTGATGGTGGGGTTTTTTCACCTGTTAAACCAGAGACTTACTGTCAGTAGTGCTCTTTAAGAGACCTCAGAAATGAGCAGTAAAGTAAGTGTATACATTATAGATATCTGGGCCTATTTGTTTATTTCCAGCAAGAAGAATAATAGAAGTCAGCACTTTCACTTAATTAGCTGGTGCAAATATGATGGCCACCTAAAGGTCACAGAAATCCAGAAAGAAAATCATAATCTCCTCTGCCAAAAGATCACATAATTAAGGTCCAGATATTGATATATTTTAAAGCAGTATTTGAAAATAAATTAGGAGCAAGATAAAAGGCTGCAACAGGATAGAGAACAGGTAAAATTCTTTCCATTTAATAAGATACATAGCTTGAACTCCTAGTTTAATGACTTTGTATTGCTATACATCAGTTTTAAGATTTTTGTTTTCCTGACAGTAGAATTGCAGGCTCAAAATTTGTACTGTGCAACATCCCACGTACTTCACATTCCCATTTCATCTCTGTCAGACCACATAGCTACATATTGCAGTCTTGGAAACTCACCTGTAATAAATGTAAGGATTTCCAGGCAGCTTTTTTTTTTTAAATCTTAACTTATAGGCAACTTTAAGTAACTTCAATGTTTGCCTAGGTGTTGGTATATCAAGGTGAAAGAGAGTAGAAGAAAATAATTCATGTTGGTTTTTGTTTTTGTTTTTTTTTTTAAATCTCACACAAAAATATATGGCAATATCATTTATTGTCGTTACTTTTGGAATTACACATCTGGAAGCTAAACATAATATGCTTGATATGAGCTCAGACATATCTTTGGATGCAGCCTATTTGATCAATAGGTATGATTAAACTGATAGCAGAGCAGAGTGTGTCAGAGAAATATGTTTTTGGTAAATAGGAATATGATTCAGACCTGAGCTAAGAATGAAGTCACTTAGCCAAAATGAAACAAATTGTAATTGTTGACATTCTTGTGACCACTTGAAAAGGTAGTATGAGAGTGAAGTTGCTCTAGAGCTGCCTAGAGATATTATAAACAGGATGAGTTTAGAATGTTATTTCTAACTATTCTGTTATTTAATTGTGACCTGGAGGAACTGTTTAGGGGAAAGGTTGAATTAGAAAAATGTCTCATATCTCCCTAAAACTGCATGAAAGCAAACTCTTAATTGATGTTTGCAGGCAGATAATCCTGTAGCACATTATTCACCAGTTTTTCATTATAGTTTACGCTAATATTCAAAGGATTATTTTGCTTAAGAATTGAAGGCATGAAAAGGAAACTAAAGAAATTAAATAAGCCGTCTTATTTGAGATAGAGCCTAATGTCAATTAGTAAAAAGTTACAAATGGGTTTGTAATGGTTGTCGACAATCCAGAAGGCCAGGGGCTTAGAGTGCTAAAGAAGAATGTAGTTTAATATCTGTTATCATCCACCATTTGGATTATTTCTGTGTAGTTAAAAGCTTTTAAATATTTTAAAATATTCTTGATTTTAGATAAATGATTCTCATAAAGATACATTTTCTTAAAGTTGCTTTTAATCATGTTGATAGTTCTAATATTGAAATATTTTGACCTCAGAGATGCTTTGCTCTTCGTTTGTTTTGATGGCCACCATGCAGGTTTGACCTAAAATTCTGGGTTTGTGATAAGTGACTCTGATTAAACTTAACCCCCAAAACAGCATCTCTGAGACACTTTTACAGATTACCCCACCCACTGTGTACCCTCTACAGTATTTAGTTTTTAGTGTTATGTTACTGTATGATAATCCCACACAAATGGAGAGAAATGAGTAAGTTAGAAAGTAAGTGTATTTTAAAAACCCTCCAAGTCTGCAAAACAAGAAAACTCATGTGCATATACTCTCACACAAAATACCCTTTTCCTAAATAAACCCTTTCTGTAACACTTGGATTTTTGATGACAGCGGAGATACAAATGTGTCCATTTCATACTGGATTTTTTTTCACCAAATCTTTTGATTTGTAAAGTAAACTTTGATACTGATTATTTTTCTTCTCTTTTCTCTTTGCTCAGTAATTTACATTTTAGAAACAGGTCAAGGAACACACATAGTTTGCATTCAGACTTTGTTGTTCTCTGGCATGTCTTCTGGCTTCTAAGAGAAATATTGTTACTCAACTGTAGATGTCAGTTGTGCCAATGCACACATACACTCCCTTTCCACATTGTTTCTCATGACTCTTGAAATAAGGTTTAAAAGCTCTCTAATTGGTTAAAAAAATCCTACTTGGTAGAAAAGCGCTTGGTGCCTACCTTTTCTTTATTTCTTGCATGAAGTAAGTCTGTTACACTCAGAAGGTACCAAATATACTTTATGTGAAATTGAAATAAGCCAGACATGATTTTATGCATGAAAGCTTCTTACTCGGCAATCTTCATGTGATAAGCCAACAGATTCTCTCTTGGGCTTTCAAGTATGTTTTAATACATACCTCCTATAGTTTTTTAAAGATGAAAAATTGCTATATATTAAGTTCGGCTGACTTGGAAGATTAAAATCAAAGTCTATTCTTTAAGATAACTCTGACATATTCCCTAAAGAAGGAAGTTTTATGCATAAAACTGCCTCAAAACCTAGCATTCCTGTGCATCAGCAGCAGAGATCTGAGACTATATTCACCCAGAGAAATATCCAGTTCTTCACAGGGTAGACATCCATTACTTGTACGTCTTGAGACTTAAGCACATTTCCATTCTAAACCACACTACACAACCTTTTTCTGATATTTGCAACTTTATAAACATTAAGTAAAAGAAAAGTCTTTACCTTTTAATCCTGTGCTGGTGGCTTTCTGCTGTATCCTTTACAGAGGAACTCCTGAGTTTAAAGCTTCAGTATAATCTGAAAAACATCATTTCAAATATTTGCCTAAGTAATGTGTTTTGAGTGGCATTCCATTAAGTATTTTCTGCATGCCTTCGGCTTCTAGCTCTTACAGAGTTTTCCAAGGGTTCATTTTCAGGAGCGGTGGTGTGAGAGAGAAGCTGACTTCTGCAACTGCAGTAGACAGGCAAACTGATTGCTTTCTACTTGGGGAATCTGGTTCTGCCTGTTTGAAACCCAGCCTTGCTGAGAGGCGGATGGCTGCCCGAGCTGCCCAGGAGCAGGAAATGTCTGGGAGCAGCTCCCTCGACAGAGGCCTCCTCGGCTGGAAGTGCAGCGCTGCCTGCCTACGAAGCAGCAGCGTAGGCGCAGGGGTTGCTCTCTCCTGCACTGAAGCACGAAGGGCAAAGGAAGCAAGGGTAGGTCATGGATCTATTAATACATTTACCCAAAAAGGAAAAAAAAAAAAAAATGCCACCAGCAAAATAATGCCTTCTGTGACATTATCTTAAAAATATTTTAACTCCATGTATAAGGTTGACCTAAAGGCTGAAGTGGGCACAGCGGACGTGGGTACAGCAGGAAATGTATGACCTGTGCAAAACCACTTGGGTTCTTGAGGAGTGTAAGGCAGAGACAGCTATCTGGATATGCTGCTTTTCCAGATGCAGCACCTCAGCTGTATTTTTTGAATACAATCAGTATTGCAACAGGAGTGCTGTAGAGAAAATGGAAGCTAATTGACAAAAAAGGATAAATCTTATACCTTTCAAGGTATTAGAGGTTAAAAATCAGCAGCTATTACAAGTTATGGGACATTAGTGTCACACTCACACAGAGCTATGCAGGTTACCAACATTTCATTCTGCTTCAGCTGTGCTTCATGGAATGTGCTGTCCAATAGCATAATAAATAGTGCAGTTATTTAATCTTTAGGTGAAAAACAGATAGGCTGTGGCAACAAACTCTGTGTTCAGAAGTATTTCCTTCAATTAGGTCTAGATGAATTGACAGCACTGCTGAGGAATGTGTTTTGAGACTAAGGGGCAGTGCAGCAGGATTTTCAGACTGTAACAAAGATAGGTTGTGCGGAAAAAGAAAGTGGAGATAATTGTTTACAATCTTTTAATTACTTTCCATAGCTTTCTTGAATTTCATTTAAGTTTTTGTCTGGTTTAGTTTTGGTCCTATTTCACAGCTGACTACTGAGAGGACATCACTTGTTCTAGCTGGTTGGTGAGAAGGAATAGTGCCAGAGTATAATAAGCATATTGAAAATGTCCTTGGTTCTGTATATCCACTGAACAACAGTTAGAGAATCTCTGCACTATATCTTACAAAGTACTGTAGAAGTACTCTTTTTGTTGAGAAGTGGGAATGGATTCTCAAAGGAGGGGCTGGGAGGAGAGCCTTATGTTCTTTCTAGCTCTGCAATCAGGTCAACAAAGTTTTGATTATCGGTAGGATGCAGGGGTTTTTATCCCAAAGATTCTGATAAGTGAGTGAACCTTTTGGACCACAAATAGTTAAGACTGTTGAAGATAGAGAATGGACATCTGAGAAGTTGTCTTTTTATGGTCTCTTTCATAAACTCTTCTTGAAAAGAAAGATTGGTATATGAGGTTAATGGTGACAAGAAATGTTTTTCTGAGCTGTAGGTGCAACACAGCTTATTTTTTAATGTCTCTCTGAAGCTAAAAACTCTCTTGGGAGTAAAATAATTAAGCACTGAGGCTCTCATACTGTGATTCTGGAAAATAGGAAGGAATAAGGTCTTAGATCAAACTGAAGTGCTGACAAGTTCTGCTAACTATGGAGTGAATTCTTACCATTGTTTCTGCCCATCAAGTAGTACCATAAACCCAAAGTACAAGCTTTGGCCTAACATTCCCTAAAAGCCATTTGAGTTAATAATGATGACGACTTGTGATTTCAGAAAAAAGGGTATGATGTTTGGTTCCAAAACCATCTGCCATTGCATTGATGGAAGGCAAATATTTGTGATTTTATCCAGAATGTTGAATCAGATTTCTCATGTAATGAAAGGGTTGCTAAATTTTAGAAAAACACTGTTTTAGTGGAATTTCTTTATTAGAGAGAGGCAAGTGCAATTTTTGGATTCCATAATACTATGCAATGCTTGTCTTTGCAGCTTTTGCACTTGGCTTGGATTATTACTGTCGTAAGTAAGATTGCATCGTGTATCTCTATTCCAGAATGGTCTACTCTGGTTCAAAGCAAACAGTACCAATTTTCCTGCTGAAAAATAGTAACTTTGAACAGGAGTAGTCTACTGCTCGTAAAAATACTATTTAATATCTTTTCATAGTTCTTAGAGTTTTAACATACTAGCTTTTAATTAAAAACAGGTAATGGGAGAGGAAAGACTATATATCCTATTGCCATGAAGAGTTTTTATGGAAGATGGGAACAACTCTTTTTTGACTTGACCTCTTTTGTGAAGCTTTGTTTAGTCTTTATAAAACTCTTAGACCCTCAAGACACATGAATTATTTCCTATGTGTTTTTTTTTTTTTCATTTTTGTCTGTTTAAAATATCTATTTTGGATTTCTATATAAATTTCTCCATTTGTTGTTAAAATTTGCTTGTAAGTGAACTCAGAAAATCATTGACCAACATGACTGCAAGTTTACTTTAAGTTTGTTCTTAGAAAATACATCTGCTTGGCTAACACATTCCTAAATACTTAAGTATTACTGTGTTAATCCATCCTACCTTCTTGGGTGTTGATCAATTTAAATCCATTTTAATCAAGAAATTGAGGTCTCGAGGGGAGTAAAATCACGTGAGCTTCATGAAAATTATTACTTGGATAGCTGAGTGAAATCCCCACAGACGAAAAGATTGTGCTTTTTTATGAGAGGTGGTTCCATACAGGTTTTGGCAGTTACCCTTGCTTTTTCTTACACGTAGTTTGTGAAGTACCTTTTAAGGCTTTACATCAGAAGCTCTTCCAGTTTCATTTAATATATAGAGGAGTTTTCAGTGAAACATAAAAAATTAGGCTTGATAAAAGTAAGTAACTTTCATTTCTGTGGTTAGAACATGGTATCACCAGGAGTTTGCTGAGGTGAAGAACTTAAGTGTGCTGTTTATAATTCTGGACAGCCCTCTTATCTTTGTCGTAGTTACTGATAACAGTGTTGAAAGGAACATAACAGCCTCTGCTTCAGAGTGTATGTCCATATTAAAGTGTGAAATAATGGATAACATTGTCTGGGTGGTAAATCAGATCTATTTTGTGCCTTTTAAGAAACACACATTACTGGCTGTAGTGTTGGATGCAGTTACAGAGTATATCGAAGACAAATCTGATCAAGAACAACAGTCCCCCAAAAACTTAAGATGTGAATCTTCTGGAGTCCTCTCTGCTACCATATCTCTAAGAAATAAGACAATGATGGCACTTCATCTTACAGAATACTTATTTTGTAAGCTATGTGTTTCATACACTTTTTTTTTTTCTTCCCCCTATTTAATAATAAGGTGTGAGTTTGAGCCATTCATGCAAGTTCCTCCCTCTGAGCTTTAAGTTTTACTTACAGAGAGCAGGTTCAAAACTTATCAAAGTGTTTGGCATCAGAGAGAAATTCTGGATAGTAGGCCAACCTGAGATGATCATGAAGTTGTATTAGACAGGGAAATGCACATGATTTGGGAAGTTGCAAAGTTCTGAACTTTGATCCATAGCCTCCAGTAGCTTGTACTAGGTAGCTTTAGGTGTAGAATGGTACAATCTTTAACATCCATCATCTTAGCTGTAAAATACAGTTCCTTTGTCTGATAATAATTATTAAATAATTACAAAGCACCTTAGTAAATATTTAATATTAGTATCTGCTGAAAATTGTGCATGGACTAACATGTTTATTAAGTAGAAAGAACAAATAAGAATTAAAGCTGAAACAAGGCATTTTCTCTTTACTTTCTTCTTCTTCCGCTTCTTCTTTATACTTTTGTTAAAAACTTAGCTTTTGGAGATCTGAGAATCTCTCTTGTGTCAGGGTGCTAAGTATTTATCTTAATCTTTTCTTTAGGCTGGCTAATAAGCAGGACAGAGAAGGAGCTTTGTCAGAAGCAGATGTAATCGAGTCCTTATCTCTGGAAAAACTTGTCAATGAACACAAGTGTCTATGTCAAATTGTAAGTATATTTTAAGATGCTTCATTTTCTAATATACATGTAAAGCTCGCAGTAAGGTAGGAGATTCTGCCACATAGCATAAAACTGAAACTAAACCCCAGCAATCTCAGCAAAGATACAGTACATATATATCTGTTCTGCAAGCAATTCTACAGTTCACCTTGAGGTTGCTTGTGGATCTGTTGAAGAAATCTTTATAACAGGGACCTTCGAGGTGTACATGCTGGTCCATTCTGAAACTATGTCAGAATAATTAGTTACTGATGTGGTTTAAACTTGTTTAATTGGTCAGCAAGTTTAGTATTCCACCTTTTTTAAAAAGAATCAGGAAATGGAATTTGCCTACATTGACATTCAGAAGGGATCATTGTTCCGATACGATGTTTGTCTCAATTCTGTTCATAATTATAATCATCATTTAGTCTGAGTCACCATCTGCCGAACAGTAAGAACTTAATCTAATTCCTGTGGCATCTAATTCCCAGCACAGTAGTCAAAGAACACTGTTAGAGCTAGTTGCTAGTTCATATTTGTCCTAAAATAGCTACATTTCAGATGTAGTATTCACAGTCATGTTACTAAAAGAAAAAAAAAAAAAAGGGGGTGTGTGTGGGGTGAGTAAAAACCAGAAATCTGTATGGAAGCTACTTAATATTGGTCAGTATTTCAGATAATTTATCCAAATCAGTAGTCCCTGAAGCTTTCTGTAAGCCTTTCTTTTAATCAACCAGTTTATTAGTTAACTATTTGTGGGCTTTACTTCTATAATCTTTTTCTAATTGCAATAAGAAACATTTTGAAAGTTAATGAGAATTATGCTGTTATTAACCAAAATTAGAAGCCAATTTTGCAAAACCAGTCCAGCTGGTATTTGGGTTTTAAAATTTAAAAAAAGACTTGTAATTCCCCAGGGAGAGTTGCAAAATTCATAGAGTAATACATACTGCTATTATTTTCTGTAGAAAGTTCATTTGTAGCAGGGCATAGCTATGTTCATTATGTCATGGCTCTTTGAATGCTTTTCTTCAGTTGGTTTACTTTGCACTATGCATATGTAGAAATCATAAAAATTGCAAGTTCACCTTTTTTTTTTTTTCCAAGGAACTTCTGTGACAAAAATTTTCTTTCAAAGCATTCTATAATATAAAAGACCTGAAAGATTCTAGTGTATTTTTCCAATACTTTAGAATTACTTAATTTATCATATGTTCCAGTAAAATGCTGTTCTTGTTCTTCATTTATATCTTG